GACTGCAGCGACTGCAGAAGCAACAGCGTACGTCGCCCCCAAAGAGTTCTTACTCATTCACGCATTGGGTAATCAATACAAATACAATACACACACACACACACACATGTACACACCGGTAGAGAGCGAGAGAGGGCCGCCCAATGAAACCATTAAGCGCTACATAAAACAGTCGTCGTCGTTTTTAGTCGATTGCAGGGGGAGACGTTACGGCGGGTATACATTGCAACCAGAAGCTACGATCGCCAGTGCCGCCAAAGTGGCGACAATTGCAGCAGCGACAGCGACTGCTGCGGCGGCAGAAACATCGACAGAGGCTCCAACTTCAGCGCAGACAACACAAACAATCAGTGGGAGAGAGAGAGAGATAGAGAGAGAGGGAGAGCCAACAACAATCGACAAAGCGACGGCGACGTGATCATGTCTGGGCCGTTCAGCAATGTTGGCGACGTCGTCGTTTATACCCTTGCCCCCTGCCTAAGGTACATTGATTTTGATCAGGTGTTTGCCACAAACAGAAGAAAGAGTTCTCTATACTTCAATCCATTTATCTGATTCTCTCTCTCTCTCTGTTTCTAACATGGAAACGATCGATCTGTAAGGGTATCACAAAACCATCTACTCTCAAAGCTTGCCTCAGTCTCTTTTGTTTTTGTTGCATTCGGCGGCTCCAACTTTGTTATTATTACCGCTCGTGCACATGCCCCCAACTGCCCACGATGCCAGGCTGTTTGTTGCTGCTGTGGCAGCCCCGAAACAGGTTTGACCATTCACTTGAACTGCTTTAGCAAGCAAAACAGACAGACAGACAGACAGAGAGTGACAGAGGAAGGGGGGTGGTGGTGCCTGGGGGCTAGGTGGCGTCGTCTCCCATCTCCGTCTTCGTCATCGATATTAAGCGTAATCAATCGAGCGAACTTCTTTAATTGAGGAGAGCAGCATCGTCGTCAACGGGCGGGAGACAAAAGGCAAAGCGACAATCAAAACTAATTGAATGCGCAGCGAACAAAAAAAAAAGAGCATGGCAAAAAAAAAGCATCAAAGAGGAGTGCGAGTATGCGAATATTGGAGTGAAGAAGAGAGAATCATAATCATGAAAACAGATACTAGTGTTACGTATTCCATTCCCGAAACTGATATGGAATATATGTACATATGTATGTGTGTATCCGCAGAATTCAAATTCCCCCAACGGCTGATTGAAAATCAATTTACAGCACAGCATCAATAATTGTTTGCTCTTTCTGCAGCTAATGTGATGGTAGGACAGGAGGCAAAATTAATTTGACCGATTTACCGCTTCACATAATTATGGTACATTATCTGTAGTCGCAAAGCAAATATTGCTTGGGGTCCACATAATTATGCATTGCATAGTTATGGGCGTATCGATTCTGAAACCTAATGACAGATGGTTGGAGCTCACAGCCAAGTAAAACAGACAATTTGTGGCTGAATAGTAAGTACTCGTACGAGCATTAAGTGGCTATTAAGGTGGGCTGGAAGTCTCAAATGGGAGTGCCCCACCCGCCGTATTATTGTGCCTGCTGATCGATAAGTATCAGATTTGTATTGGTATTTATCGAGGTGTGTTTCTATTTTCAGACCAAAGACCAAAGCCACTGCCACTAATCGATAATGGATAAATGAAGTTACTCCCCATTTCTTTATTTATTTCCGTGCAGTCGCTCTATCATTCTGGTTGGCCTTTTAAATAGTATGCGCGGGTTATCGCTGATTTCTAGAATTTCTCAGTCTCAGTCAGACAGCCTGGTGATGGTGGTGGCAGCAGCACTACTACTACTACTACTACTACTACTACTACTGCTGCATGCGTCAGCGTTGAATAAATAAACGTTAGACGCCTAGACCTTAGTCAACCGACGACCTACACGCTTTAGGCATTATGAATAACCGAGTGCCGAATCTCAAATACCGAAATCCGAATGTCGCCCCGCCGAGCGTTCTGGGTGTCGAGTGTTTCAGGCCGCTTAACTTGGCTATTATAATATTGTTGATTGCTCATTTGTTGACACGCAACGCTTGCTCTGGGGCAAGAGGCAGTCAACAAAAGCGTAGGGTGGTCAACAAAAGGTACATATAGCGCTGCAGGGGGTGGGGGGTGAGCGTTGTGGCCAACAAACTACAACTAAAACAACAACATCACAGCCGAACACAACCCAACAACAATCACGTGTTTGGTTTCAGTTATTTTAGTTTATTTGCACAATTCATCAACAACCACAAACAGGAGAAGAGGAAGAAGAGGCTGTGGCTATGACGAATGCTCCTAGTCTCATAGCCACAGCCATAGCCATAGTCATAGCTATGTGGCCACAACACAACCAAAACCAAAGCCAAAGACACTGTCTAAGCCGGGTTAAAACGGAATTGGTAGTAGTAGAATTTCCATATTTTGTAGATATATTCTGTGGCATATTTTATTCTATTATTCTTGTACTTGTACTTGTGATTTTTGCTGTCTTAATTCAGATACTGTACTTGCATTAAAGTATTTCCATATTTACAACTGCATTTAATCCTTTAAAGACCACACGGATATGAGACCGTTAAAAAGCTAATTTCGTGTTGGTGCAATTTCTAATGAGGATTTACATCATGTTTAACTCTAACTTTGAATCAATATAGCAGCATATCCCACAACTTACAGATACTCCTAGAGTATTTCGCATTCGTTTAGTCATTCAACCATTCGATTGTCGTACTCCGTGTGCTGTGTTTTGTGTGTAAATAAAACTGACGATGTCGATGCTGATGCCGATGCCGATGTCGACTCTATCCGCCTCTGGCTGCTTGCTGTGGCTGATTGGGAATCGCCAGTTTGGCGACTTTTGCACACAAACACACACACACAGACACACGGATACAGCAACAGTCAGAGCCAGAGCCAGAGCAAGAGCTACAGATGCGGAGATACAGCGAGCAGACACGCAGATACTTTTATACACATTCTTTGCCCCGACGTTGTCCGACGTGCGAGTGTACTTGTAGCTTCTATGAAATCGCTTTAAATTAAGCACAGCACAGCACAACACAGCACAGCAGAGCTGAGAGCGCCAGAGCAGTAAATAAAACGATCGCAGACGCAGACGGAGGTGACGCCAACGAAAATATGCCGTGGAATGTTCAGCTGCCTCTTCTACTCTACGGATTCTCTGATTGTGTATCTGTATCTGCATCTGCAACTATCTGAAACTATCTGCAAGTGCAAGCGCTCTGGTTGTTCTTTTGTTGGCCGTGATGGCCGCATATTTGCATACGCCAGCCCAGCCGCCAGAGCAGCTGTTTATAGCCTCAGATGTCAAGCTAATTGAAACGGCTCAGTGCTGCAGATCTCTGGTTCGTTCCGTTCTGGCCCAGACAGCAACGAGACAGCTTAATCACATGCGTCAATGGATTTGCGCGACTGTGCCTGTTACCTGTTCAGGCCAAAAAGAACAGAAAAACATCAAGCAGACGGAATGGCATCATTACACGTACATAGAATGAGCGACGATAGCTTTTCCCGGGTAAAACCCATAAAAACATCAATGCAAAGGGAACTCGAGGATTATCCTGGGCTTACACTGCCACTTGACTTGAGGCACTTGAGCCTGGCGCTAGGCGGCCAACCCATCAAGATGCAGGCAGGCAGATCCTCAGTCAGATCCTCAGGCTGTCGGCAATTAAAAGTGGCAACACTTAAACGATTTGGCCCAAACAGGTAGAGCAGAGCCCATTGGCCTGTGCTCACTTCTGGTGAAAATCCCCTGGCTGCGTAAATGTATCTTTGAGCTGGCAAATGCTGAAGCAGATACCCTTATAATTAGTGACAGAAATGAACCCTAAAATTGATATGAACAACGGCTGTAAAACAAGGGAAATTTTATTACGATATCACACGGATACATATGTAGGTGGGGTGGGGTATCTGCATACGTCACGTATCAGCTTATCGGAATGAAAGTGAAATGCGGCTGACTGCCAAAAGTACGAGTATCTACATATATGTATGTAAGTATGCCCAGAAGCTCGTAATCTTTTCCGATACGCTTTGCACACATACAGATAGATACTGAGCTTATTGTTGGTATATAATTTACTTTATATACTATTTATTTATTTATTGGAATGTATGTGTGTGGAACTCTGTGGACATGAATCACGCCATTTGGCCTTATCAAAATGAAGCAGCTCTCAGCGGTTCCATTTGATTCGTATGTACCGGACACGCACTTTATCTATATTGCCAACCACTCTGCTGTGGCACTGTGCTGTGCTGGAGCCAGCCAGCCATATTAGCCCCCATCTTTATTTCCATTTCACTTTTCTTCTTTTTTTTTGGTGTTCCACAGCCCCCTGAAGGTCATTTCTATGCGCGTACCTTTCACATGAGGCACAGCTGCGACTGTCAAATATTTTTTATATTTCGCTTAATCGATTATAAACTTAACCTTTTCTTTGTTTTATGGTCTGTGATAGCGGCGCACTGATTGCCAGTTCTGCTGTGACTCACGACGACTGATGTATGTATTGATTAAATTATTAGTGATATAAATATACACATACCTACAAACATACATATGTACATATACTCTATGCTCATAGGCGAGATTACAGAGATTGGAATTTCCCAGGGGTGGTAATGGGGCGATTTATAATGGCGATTCTCAGTGATTTGTGGAGGCTTTTTAGACTAGTAATCATCGCTACCGATAAGTGTTAATTTTGGTATGTTCAATTAAGAATATTAACTTATCTATTTCGATGAGATACCGATAAAAATCGATTTTGTGTTCCAATTTTTTGTTCAGTCACAGATGACTAGTTATTATAGCGAATAATTGGAAATTAATCACAGAATAATTATTTATCGGTGAATAATTTAATTTGATATTAATTCGATTACTCTCATCGATAACTAGTATTTTATCAACACTTCTTTTCAATGCTAGGACTAATACTTTTGGGGGCTTCCCCTGCGCTTTTCGACCACTTACCTTTCAGCTTTTCACGAGCCGTTTCCAGAGCACTCTTGCGTGAGTTTACTGTGGATTCTGAAAGAAAGCAACAATTTGTTTTAATTAATTTCGATTGTTTTGGGAAAATTGAGATAAAGATGTTTGGTGGCAGGGAAAATTACGAGTAATCGAGTAATGCAATTTGCTTCAAGATCAAACCTCTGCCCCCACCCACGCTCTGACACTGACATTTCATTTGATGACGCCAGAGCCGATGGCCAAGCGAAAGCAAAAGAAAATGGGCGAAAATACATAGAGCACACACCTCCTACATAGTAAATAAAGAATTCGAATGGCACACAAAATGCGGAGGGGGGACGGACGCTAAGAGCAGCCGAATGTTGCCAATTTTCATGGGCCATGGAATAGCCAAAGCAGCGTCAGACAGAGGCCATCAAACCAAGCTGAAAATTCATTTCCACAAGAATGTTTACAAGCCAATTTTGTTGCGCTCTTTGCTAAATTTAAAAAAGCTATATCTTTTGGAGGGGTGTATCTGTGTTTATATATTGAAATATTTGCGCAAAATGAACGTGAAAAACGCATTTGATGAGTGTCTAAAAATAGCCTCTAAATATGTTTCTTGCCAAATTGTGGCGAAATTCCCTTTCGGAAGGCACTAAAAATACCAAGTAATCTACCAAGGAATTGTGGAAAGCACTCCACTCGTATTATATATATATATATACGTACATATGTACGTGTAGGAGCGAAGAATATTGTGGCATATTCTGGGTGACCACACAGGCACTCGAATGACGCACTTTACCGCGATTGATAAGCCGCAGGCAGAGTGTGTGGCAATAACAACGAACCGAAATCAGTTGTATGGAGGGGGCAGTGACGAAGGGAATACCCTAACCAAATATAAACCGATGTAATGGTAACTTTATTTGGGATATAGTAATTTTTTAATGCCACAAATCGTACATCTAGGCTTAGACCTAATGTACGTCGCATGCTGTCCCTTGTAATAGGTAACACCCAATTATAGCTAGGGGAGTCGTATGACTATAAAACAAAGGCGATTAAGGGGCGCTCAATGGGGCCGGGGGATTCTTATCAACACTTGCCATGGTGGAAACAGTGAATAGTCAATTCGGTCGGTCAGCGAGATGTTGTAAAGCACTCGGGCTTAATCGCTTCGAGTGGCTGCACTTTGAACGAATCATCGATAAGCCGTGGCCCCTACACTGCTGCCCCAGCGCCCGCCTCTACCACGGGATGAAGTCGTCGAATAGGAGACGCCCCCAAGTATGCAATGAACGCGTGCGGCGGAACTCAGGCAGAACTCAAGAGAGAACGAGAGTTAGATTAGAGCGAGTGAGAGAGGAAAAAACCTGCATGCAAATTAAAGCAGCAACCAGGCAAACAGCAAAAGATGGAGGCAGGCAGCCACAGCGTCAGGCAGCTGGCCAACTGCTTGACTCAGCAGCAGCAGCAGCAGCCAACAGCCAACAGCATAAGCCGCAGCCATAGCCTGATGCCAAGTGCAGAAAAGAAGTTGCCACAGGTAGCCGAGAAGATGAGAACACGGCCCCGATTGCGCACGCACCGAGCCACGGCACTGGGGAGACACACCACACCACACCACCACCTCTGCGGCGGCTCCTTCACCTTCTCCTTGGCTCTGGTTTTTGTTATTTCTTACCACCTGCCGCACTTGTTTATGGCCGCGACTTGTTGGCGACCAACTTTGTCTGCTGCTTGCTCTTCCCAAAGCGGAAACATGCGCGCATCCAAGCCACAACCAGATTGAAATTGGCAATGTCGTCGTCGCCGTCATCATCAGGCCATCCCGCCAGGCCTATTCAGCCTCTTTCTTTGGGGTTTTGGCATCAGTAAAACTGGTTAGCAGAATGCCTCGCTGCAACCAGTTTATCTGCCCTCTCTTTCTGTGCGGGGAAGCCGCAATGTCGTTGTTGTTGTTGCTGTAGTTGTTGCTGTTGCCTTACTAATTGCTGGCTCGAATGTTTATAGAACAATTAACATTTGCGGCTCATTACGCATTCGCTCTCGGCATGAGCTCAGCTCGGAACTGCTGCTGCTGCTGATGCCATCATAGCGATCTACCCTGGCACCGGGGCGTATGAGTAATGTCTCTAGAGAGGGAGCCAATAAAATGATTCAGAAATTGCGCGCTTATTATTTTTAGAGATTTTGTTTGATGTAAACAAACTGGGAAGAGCGTTTCCAGATGATTTCATTTTTGTTTTCTTTTTGTTTTGTACGTTTGCGGTTTATTAGGCGTTTATCAACACTGCAATAATTTATAGGTAGATCGAAGACTGAGAATTAAAGGTAAACAGTTTATCCCTATGATTTAGAGACAAAGAAAGAATTAAGGGGAAGTGGACAGAGGAGGCACGTACAGAGAAGTTTATTGGGCAAACCTACCCCCAGGAGTTAAAAAAAAGAACCCCTCATGCCCGAAGATCGTCCACAAGTTGAGCCATGAAAAAAGCGTCGCAGACATAAATTTTAAAAGGAAGAAAAACCGTTAATCCACAATCTACATTCATTTGTATACAAACTCCGATATCTGCCCATTTTGTTGTACTTTGCCTGCCGTTTCTCGTTTTCGATTTCATTAGCAATTAAATTGTTTTTTTTTTTTTGGTGACGTATGCGGTCTGTTTTGTTGATTGCGTAATTACGATGCAGTTTCTTGATTTATTTTCGCCCAAAGTTTTTGGCAAATTGTTTCGGTTTGCTTGCGGCGGCACTTGTGCCCAAAAATAGCATGAACAATAAATAATTTGTTCTTTGTTTTATAAATATATGAGAAAGAAATAAATATTTAAAAAAAGGGTAAAAAATAAAAATGCATTCGGCGCATTTTTTTGTGGCAGCCAATTTTTGCAGCTGCTTGCACATTACATTAAGACACAAAAAATATGTGCAACACGAGCAAAGATTGAGGCAGAAATATGTGTGTGTGGATTTGGATTTGCATACAGGCTCTGTAGGCTGGCCTGGCTCTGACGCTGCTGGTTTCTGGCCAGCTGTTAAAGTCGGCTGTGCGACGGCCCACATGGCAGATACTGGCTGACACTACAAGCTATGCCAGGAATTTGGCCCCCTTTGGTGCGTGTAGGACTTTGCCAGAAGGCCATAGCCCCGTGGGGAAGCCTGACACTTGAACAGCTCTGAATTCTCAGGAGAAAGGGGCGAAAACTGGAGCAGAAGTTTTGAAATTCCAAAGGGGTGACTTTGGGGAGGTGGAAGTGGAAGTCAGCACAACAATGGTATCTCCGCTATCTGCCATTCAACACTCTTATCTCAGCGGCAATAAACGGAACTATTAAATGCTTATGGCATGAGCATAGATATGTATGTATATATGTATGTATATGTACATATAATGTATGTATGTATGTATATATAAATTTGTGGCTACGCTGATCCAGCTATCAGTTTAATAAGTGATACTAGCGTTGAAAAGCTTGAATGGTTATTTTCTGAGCAGGTTAAACCCAAGAGTACTTGTACTGGTGTACTGGTGGCGCCCCAAAGTTGCGTTCAGCCCCCCTAATCTGATACACGTACACATGCATGCATGAGTGTGTGTGTGTACAGTTGAATGAGCAGAAAATGGAATGCCAAAACGCTGACATGGCAATTATCAAAAGTTATTCACTTTTTATGCTTAATTTCCTTTGAACTGTACCCACTCACATAATCATGCTGCTTTCATTCTCTCTCTCTCTCTCTCTCTCACACACACGCACACATGCACCTGTAAAACTGCTTTCAATCGTTGGATTCAAAGTGCTTGTGCTCTTCAATCGGAGCGTTTAACATAAGAGAGGGAATTCCCTGTTAACAGCTCTGTCCCTGCCTTGCTGTTAACTCTCGTCTGCTTGTTGCTCTTACTCAGCGCACACACTTGCTTGCGCGCTCTCTTTCTCTCGCGACTGCTCTTTTATTTTGCGTTTCAATTGATTTGTTGTTTTTAGTCACATCGTTTAGGCTTTGATTGTTGTTGTTGTTGTCGTTTCGTTTTCGTTTTCGTTTGTCGATTATCATTAGCCGGGGCTTTTGGCTTGCTTGTTTGCTTGCTCCAGTGTTTTACTGCACTGCTTATATTTCTCTGCTATGCTTGTTGTTGCTGTTGTTGGTGTCACCTTAATTGCTCGGCATTTGTTTTTGGTCGCACTCCCCAACCCCCCTCGCCAAACACTCAGCAGCGATAAGATTTCACGGGTGCTTTTTTCCGCAGTTCAAGCAGTTCAAGAAGAGGAAGAAGAGGTGGATGGCAGTTCAAGTTCAAGGGGGAGAGAGGTGGTACGTCATAGAAGAAATGGAATTTTTATAAATGGAGCTCTATCCCGGGTCTATTTTATCCCTATGCTAAGCTTAAATGCGGAGATGCTGATTCGATTCCCCTCAGGGATCTCTCAACTGTGTAATCCCCAGAGACCTTATCGATGGATGCCCATCTCGCATGGCATCCCAGCGCTCGCTTTCGGTGCAACACAAACAAAACGAAGAGGAAGAACAATATATAAAGATTTATTTTTCGATCTGCGTAAACATAAATTACGAGCAAAACGCCACTGCGACACCACAGCACCAGCCACAGGCAAAGATGTTGGCTAAAACGTCTACGCTACGTCATAGTCGCGGCAACAATGTATCTGGGTTGGGTTGTATCTGTGGCAGACATTCCCCATTTCTTGTGTATACGTGTACATATGTATGTATGTACATATGTATCTTATGCTATGTGTTCCACCGAAAGATACAAAGATACAGACTCTCAGCGAAACATGAAAGTACGAGTATCTGTTGCTGTTGCAAAGTTCGAACACCGAAGCATCCTGGCAGCGGCAGCGGCAACAGCTGCCAACTTTCATGTTCCACCGAGGGGCAACACGAAAAAGGCGCAAAAACGAATGCTGTCTGTCCCGTGTCTGTGTGTGCCTTTGTGTGTGTGTGTCTGTGTATGCCTCGGCATCCGTGTGAATCCTCAATCAACTTCTTGCACACCTTCATGTAGCTGTATTTGTATCTGAAAGATACGAGTACGCATA